TCGTACTCACTAGTACCAGCCTGCACTTCATACACGTCCACCTCCCAAAAAAAAAAAACCAAGAAAGAGAGAAACCCAAGATAATCATATTATGGAGATTACTGTAACAAATTCAGGAACTAAAACCTCGGGTTTCTAAATGCACAAATGGATCAAAACCTGCATACACATTTTGGAAGAAAAGCAAAAATATATGGAAGAGGAAGTCAAGTTGTTACGCTGCAGTAAACTGTTTATATGTCAGGTTGTTACAGTAGCTGATTCCATTCATGCTTTCTAAAAAGCAATTAGTGTAAGAACTAAAAATATTGGGGCAATAATGATAATATTTAAAACCCACATAGGCCACTGAAATGTTTTAATTAATTCTTGACATTCATCAGGCATATAGCTAATTAGTTTTATGCTTGGAAACCAAATTTCTGTGGAGCAATTCAATTTCAACATTAGTTGCCCTAATGGTTGTTTTATAGTTTAATGCAGAGGTTAGTGTTCCTGCTGCATGTGTCAGCTACCTTTCTTTCATACACCTCTAATGGCTGGATGCAATTCAATCAGATTAATGAAACAGCTGAATTAAATTAGCGACATATTTCAGCCAAATGAATCAGTCACAATTAAGTGTGGCTACAGCATCAAGTCTTGTGCCAAACTATCTGGTAATCACTCACCAAGTCACAACAAGGGCATCTTTCAGTTAACAGCCCAGCATTTAGCTGTAATAACTCTTATTTTATTATTTAATGTCTTCTATGTTATATTAGTGCTGTTTTAAAGGTTAGACTATTCACACTCATTAGCAGAGGAAGAAAATGCTGCATTAATACAATGTTTAAGACCCCTCTGACAACTGAGAAAAGACTGTCAAAGTGTCAGAACTACTATAATACTGTTACAATAAATACATTCAAATAAAGGAGAAAATTGTTAAATTGAAAGGTTGGTCATTTTATTGCACTTGATTGCAGCTTATGGAATCTCTACTATAACAGTTGGAATGGTACCTCCATCCCTGTAGTGCAAGAGAAACCATTGCTTCATTAATGACCTGAGCATTCCAGCAAATGAAACATTAGTGATATGTGAAGATAAGAGATTACAGAGTCGATTACACAGACGAGACAGCACACCAGGCTATTTCCACTCAATTTTTTCACTGTACATCACTTTCAAGAACAAATCAGAAAACATAATATAGCTTAAGGTACAAAGCTATGACTCTCTCTCCCTCTGCAAGTAAACAAGGCAACACCTGTTCCCTCAAAGCACTGATGGCGTATGTACCATACAATGAGCAGTGACACAGGGATAGCAGAACTGTTCAATGGGCAGA